TTAAAAATAACAGACGCGTCTAGGTTAAACAAATAAAATTATATTAATTAGTTATCCACATGAACAATAAAAATTGAAGGTCCTAACAAGAAAGTGTATTATTTACATTGATATTCCCACCCGATTACAGTCTTTTATCTTTCTTTAAACTAATAACACGGTTTGAATTATCAGTTCATTACATCAATGTATGCATGACGTTGCTATTTTTCTTCTGCTGTTTCCTGTTCTCGTATCACGCAAGTTTCTTCCTCGCATCATCTCAACTTCAGCGCCCAATTGAACTTGTCGAAATTACTTCTTATTCCACACGTTCGCGGCTCGCTTCCTTTCATAAATACAATTTATATCACGTAACACCTCTTACTGTTAAAAGACTAGTCTGCCCCACATACACCCAAAAAATGTCCTCTGAGCAATTTCTTTTCTTTTTAGGCGAAGCCTCATATATCCGTCCATCTTTCTCTTCACGCCGACAAATGTCAAATGAGTTTGAACACAAATAAAACTCAATATCCAAATACATATAAAATTATATATTACATATGGAGGAGAAATATCTGCACATTTCCTTGGGCTTCAGAATGTCTTCCCTGGCCTTTTCCTATACAAGGTTCAAAGAACAATAAATGTGCCAACAAAGCGAGGTTTGGCTGCATTTGAAAACTTTTCGCTTCCAAGTAATAGAAAATTGCAAGTATTAGGGAAAAGAATTACTGATCACATTGTGTAGTAGTGCCGACAAAATAGCAATACACATACACACACACACACACACACACACACACACACACACACACACTGACTCATCTCCTACAGCAACTAGCAATGAATAATAAAGCTACATTTATGTTCAGAACCGAAACAAGATTAGGGAAACTGGATCAGGGAAACTGGACAATCCAGATGGCGGTCATTTATTTAGTAGTTAAAGTACAGTCCTTGCTGCAGTTATGTTTCCTCTTTTAGATTTTATACAATAAAAATACAAACTATTGCATGTGTCATTGCTAAAATAAATATTATTTTCCTTTTCTTCTTTCGTTCCTTATTCAGGATCCGGTTCACCCACGAGTTGCGCCGCGAACATCTTTTGCTTAGTGGAATTTGCGATTTGCTAACATCGTTTGCTTCGTCGCTTCGCTACGACACCTGCGCGCCTCGGAGTTGCGTTTGTTGTCCGCCGTGATTGAAGAATGGCCGGGAAGGAAAGAGTATCTTTTGAAAGCAAATCGATGAATGGAACACTTCAGGGGAGAAATTCAAACATGTTTACATTATAGGCAGTACAGTGGTGATCTCACTCTTGTCTACAGAATATAGCAGATAAAAATCTACTAAGTTTAATAAGAGCATTCGATATTTTCTGCGAAGAGAAATTGCGTGAATGCATGGTGATAAGTTTACCTGTGCAGTAGAACGTATTATTTTTCCAGTTCGTTTGCATACAAGCTCAGAGGCCTTCCTAGCAGTAACAAAACTGAATCTTACACAGGTAACAACGAAATATTTAAAAATGTAAGATATTAATTTTATACAGAATGTCTGAGGAGGAAACGTCGAAAGTACGCAAATAAGCTCTTAAGACAATTTTAAGTATAGTTTGTCAAACTAATATTCCGAATGGTTGAACCGTAATAATCACTCAAAAGTTGGTTTGAAAAATCTTTCTAGGCAAAAATTTCCTTTGCAGATGCACGGAAACACTCATGAAACATGAAAGCTGTTTATTATTTACAAAGGAAATTAATATGTAAAAAACAAAAATTAACACAAAAGTAAAAATTCATCCAATGTACACAATTCATCTGCTTTATTATTTCTGGGTTAATTTTTTCTGAACAAATATATTCGTTTATTTTGTAAAAAATTAACTCTTTTTTCATATTCTTGGAATGTTTCTACGATTCTGCGACGCAAAGTTTTGCCTATAAAGCATTTTTTCAAAAAAATGAGTGCATACCCAAGGACTATCCAAGTAGTTTATTACAAAAAATATGCTTCAAATTGTCTTAAGAGCTTATTTTCGAAATTTCTATATTTCCTCCCCAAATATCCTTTTTTTAATGGATCCCATGAACTGCGAGGTCAATGGCGACCACAATAAAAACAACACATTCAAAGTACAAGCGAAATATAAAAAACATTAAATACAAACCGCATAAATATAAAATTTGTCAATATTACAAGATTGAACTTTGATTGACTTTAACATTGCATGATCTGCAAGGGCATCAACGACCACAAGAATTAATAAGACCATTATCATCACTTACTTGAGGAGACTAGTTTCAAAACGCGATTTTTCCACCTTTCGTTAAAAACGAGATATTGGTTACAATAGGTTTCTGTTGCAGTTATGCATCGTTCTAAAAAAATATTTGAAATAAAACGCTTTTTATTCACTCCACAGGGCTTCATAATAATGTGTTAGTATCAGAATGCTATCTTTCCACAATATTCACTTCGTTGCAAAGTATGATCCAGCAATCAGAGATCCTTCTTTCACTAAGTTTTGACGCCGTATTATACCAAAATGAAATTTATCATTCTATAGAAATCTAACTGGCCTGAGCATTCACCAAGCTGATACTGAGAGTAATGAGTTTTGGGCAGGGAACTTCATATTGGATAACAAATTCCATACGAAATATTGCAATCAAAAGGAAATAATTAATGCTCTTGTAAAAATATTGAATGAAAATAAGTGTGTTTTCATGCAAAAATACGTTTTCACCAACATTACAAAAAAATACTTTAATTAAAATTCAAAACGAGTCTGTTCCAAATTTTTAGCTCAACTTTCATAACGACAAGAAATTCTTGTATTATCTTATATTATTGTCTTTACTTTCACTAGCCAAGGACATTAATCACAAACATTTAGCAGCAGAATTTTTTAAACAAATGATATGGCATTTCCTTATTTTTTCGCAAAACAGGCTAAAATGGCAAAGTCTCATTTTGAAACTAGACCTCTCAATTGAAATATTAACTCCGGATTATTGTACCATAACTGGTTTGAAAATAAATAAGTTAAACGATTATATTATATTTATGACCGTCTTTTAATTGTAATGTATTAAAGTATCTATTGATTATAAACAGTCAATTTTAAATAAAATGTTTTATTTCAACGCCGATCAATAAAACGTAATTTGAAATTGACTGTTTATAATCAATAGATATTTTAATCCAAAAAAGTTAACCGATTACACAAAAAGTGTAAAAGTGTTAAATTCATTGAAAATTGTAATATTAATTCAACCATTTATAATAACAACTACTTGCAGGATTAGATGATAGGGTCACCATTAAGTACCGGGAGCTATCTTACCGGGAAAGGTTTGCCGTCTATACCAGAACGAAGAATCGTGCGGATGTGGAATCTCTTCAAAGACGGAGAAGTAATAATCTCCTCTCCTCTACATGGTTCCGAACCCCGGACGTCGGGTCAAAATCAACTAATTGCCAAAAATTACTAGCTGAGCAAAGAGGAATTTTCAACGGATCACGATTTACGCATCTGGGACTCGATTTAAACCCTGAGATATCGACCGCACGTTCGTCTCCCTGCTCTGTTTGGTTAGAAGCGTTAAATGTTCGTTCGTGACTGGTTCGATTCTAAAGTTCACGCTCGAGATGTTTATACAGAATAAGAAAAATAATGATTGACGGACAGTTCATGAGCAAGTAATTTGTTCACGGGCGTAATCTTTACTTCAAAGCAAAACTCATTAATATTTATTTTAGAACAAAAAGAAAATGTAGAGACGCGGAAATGTAGAGAGATGCAGAGCGCTGCGTTGTATCAATATTCATTGCCTTTTTCGGATCTACAAGTTGCAAGGGAAAATTGACGTTAATTGTCATTCTTTTCTTTTATAAGATAATTAAAACAGATCAAAGTGTACATTAAAACTGAGATATAAGAGTAAGATGCCGAGCGCATTTCGTAATTTTAATATGACGTTATGTCGTGCCATAATTTATTTTGGCCTATCAAACCACCTCGTATGCCACCTGAATATCATAGAAATGCATATTATAAAACACCTCTAAAATCCATTTCAAGCCAAATCGTCAAAATTTTAAGATTGTTTCTTCGAATGTGACTGCAGTCTAGCAGGAATAATGAGTAAATTAAGGGAAGATAAGAATAGAGATGGATGCAGGTAAAGGAGAGGGAGGGAGGAAGGTAAAGGATAGGGGGAATGAAGGGAGAGAGAGATTAGAGATAGAGGAGAGAGAGAGAGAGAGAGAGA